AACAATACCTATGAGTTAGTTGAACTTCCAAAAGGTAGAAAAGTTTTGAAAAACAAATAGGTATACAGGCATAAGATGGACGATGAGAAACTAATGAAATATGAGGCACGTTTGGTAGTAAAGGGTTTCAATCATAAGAAATAAATTGACTTTGATGAAGTATTTTCTCTTGTTATGAAGATGAGCTCCATTTGGGTAATTCTTGGTTTGACTGTTAGTTTAGATCTTAAGGTTAAACAATTAGATGTGAAGACAATATCCCTTTATGGTTGATCTACATGGATCAACTAGAGGAATTTAAAGTCAAAGAGAAATAACACATGGTTTACAGGTTGAAAAAAAGTTTGTATGAGTTGAAACAGGCTATGAGATTGTGGTACAAGAAATTTGATTCCTTCATGGTCAGTCATGGTTACACCAGAACAGATGCAGGTCATTGTGTGTACTTCAGGACATTCTTAGATGGTAAGTTTGTCATTCTGTTACTTTATGTAGGTGACATTTTGATAGTGGGACAAGACACTACAAAGATTAGTGGTTTAAAAAAAAAATTGTTTGGCTCTTTTGATATGAAAGATTTGGAATCAGCATGATAGATTTTGAGTATGCAAATTACTCATGACAGGAAAGCTAAAAAGTCATGGTTGTCACAAGAGAGGTATGTTGAGCATATTCTAAACAGATTTCATATGAAGAATACTAAGCCAATTAGCACACCACTTGATAATCACTTCGCACTTAGCAAGAAATTATGTCCTTTTACTATAAAAGAAAAAAAGAAATGACAGTTGTTTATTACTCTTCTGTGGTTGGGAGTTTGATGTATATTATGGTTTATACCTGACCAGATATTGCTAATGTTATTGGTTTGGTAAATAGATTTCTTTCTAATCCTGATAAGAGTCATTGGGAAATAATAAAATAGATTTTCAGATATTTGAGAGGTACTTCTAAGATGTGCTTATGTTTTGAAGGCTCATAACAAATTCTAGAGGGATATGTAGATTCAGATATGACAGGTGACATTGATAGCAGGAAGTCTACTTCAGGGTGTGTGTTTATTTTTGCAAGATGAGTCGTGTCACGGCAGTTTAAATTGTAAAAATATATTATTTTATCTACAAGTGAGACAAAGTATATAACTTTGATTGAAGCAAATAAAAAAATGTTATGAATGAAAAGATTTCTTGAAGAGTTGAATTTGAAGCAAGATGAGTACGAGATGAATTGTGATAGTCAAAGTGATCTAGATTTTAATAAAAATGCCACATATCATTGTTGAACTAAGCATATTGATGTGAGATATTATTAGATATGAGATGTGGTGAATAATAAAAATATATTATTGAAAAAGATTCACAGTGATAAAAATCTAAATAATATGTTGATTAAGATAGTAATTCGTGACAAACATCAGTCTTACACCAAGAAAGTAAGACGAATTGGAAATTGAGCAATGTATGGTGGACATCTCCTCACGGGTTGGAGGGTGAGATTGCTGGTTTTTTTTTGTCCAGCCCACAAGGGTAAATTAATCAATTAAAAAAAAAATAGAAGGAAAATTAGGACTGAAGTTTCCCCTCTTATATGTATATGCTGCATAAAAGTCAAAAAAATAAAGGATAGAAAAAGCAACACAAGAAAAGTAGACAAATTTTAGGTTCTCTCTCACTCTCACTCAAGAATGGGATAAAGACTTAATATTCATATTTTTTTTTCTTTCTCTGCGCACGTTTCCAAAGATAGAAAAGAAGAGTTGTTTGGTTATCTACGTATAAATAGAGGCTGGGTTTGTTGATAAAAACTGGTAACTTTTCTTT